TTTTCTGCTAAATGTTTTTTATTAAAAAATTAATACTCATATAATATGTAGAAGGACAATAAAATTTGAGGACGCTCGAATATTCGGAATTCTATGTGACTGCACCTTTACCTCCAACGCTCCTATGCTATTCACTTTACCGACATGACCAAACACACAATAACTCGTAATTTAAATATATAAGAACATGAAAACCCACCAAAACTAGAAACGAAAACATTGAAGGTTTTGTTAATCCACAGAGAAATATTATGTAACAATTAATGTATGAGAAATGTTTGACTAAGCAGCCCATGGTTTAAACTTGGAACACCCTAAATCACTTTTTGTCTGTAACTCCCAAAATAAGCAAGACTAGTCCACGTGTATGCATGCATGTCGGCTTGAATTAAGTGAAAAGACAGAAAAGAAACCTCCTCTCTCTCTCTCTCTCTCTCTCTCTCTCTCTCTCTCTCTCTCTCTCAATGACATCCTCGTGCTCTCCACCCCCAGTCATCCACCCCTTTGACTTTTTTCTTTCCCATTTTTTAATTATTTTAAAATTTATGCAGTTCAACATTTATATTTTATAAATAATTTTAACAACTATATTCCAAGCAAATACTAAAATTCTAGACTTATATTTTTATATTTGCTTCTAAAAAGGTGGTGAATTTATATGTTTTGGTTTTCTTCTCCAATGCAAATGAGTTTTAAGATTTGAATTTTTGCATTAAGAAAGAAAACGTTGAAACAATTTGATTTATGTGTATGGAGACATAATTTGACTCAAAATTCAAATATCATTTTTCTTAATTGAATAATATTTTTTAGTTGGCATGAGTTATATCTTAACCTCAATATCATATTGAAATTTAGATTTTAATCCCGTTTTACCTCAAACATCTGAGATGCATTTTATATCTCCGATGCATTGGCGATATATTGCCTTATATTTAGCCTTAAACATAAAATTCAAGTCTTTGTGTCGAAGATGCTTTTATATACAGGGTAATATTACAGCTAGCCAGATATAGATTTTGGGATGTGATATCCATCACATCCTATTTTACTTGTCATACATCTTTTTAGTTTTTGGCTGTCAGATCAGATGAATTGAATAAGATCAACAGATAAAAATAATTAAAGAATATGTAAAAAGTAAAATATCTACACGTCATTTAGATTTTCGACTTTACCAACATAGGACTTTGAAAAGCCTTGGCTAGCTAGATTCTCGGTCTAGGGTACCATCCCCCCCCCCCCCCCCCCCTCACTCTCTTTTTATAGATCTATCCTCTCTCTCTCTCTCTAGACTCGACCTCTTCCTTTGCTTGATCTATACCCAACGTAGCAAATTCCTATGTTCTTATTGTTAAAATAATAGTGGACCAGTCCTAGTTGGGTCCCTAGATTACTATAACAACAATAATCATATGTGATGAACTGGTGTTGCTGCAAAGCGCTCGTGTGTCTTCCAACTGTTCAATCCTTTAAATGGAGAAATTCTTCAGGCGATTGATGTAAACTCGTCACTGACTAACACAGTGTCAAAGTTTATCGTGAGAGCCAAAGTTGTATTGTATAGATTTGTAAAATTGACAGTTATACATATTTTAAATGACAAAACTCTCTTGTGATTATTTGACGTATGTCACGTAACTAATGTGAATAGAAAAGATGATTAGCGTAGTGTTATATATACATTCGTTACGCCTGCTGAAGAAAACGAGACTTTCACAATATCAATGTGACTACTTGTTGTAAGCACGTCACGTGACTAAAATGTGAATACGAAAAATGATTACGGAAGTGAGTTTTATATTTTATATACCTGTTACACCTATTGAATAAGGCAAAACTCTCACGATTGAACAAGGTAAAACTCTCACGATATCAATGCGTCTATCTGACGAATACAACATATACATCAAATTTCTCACAATGAATATATGATCATCCGACTGTATGACTGTGAATCCCTCACTATTTTCTCAGAACTGTATATAATGCGGCGGATGAGCATATATCTGCTGTTCTAATTATTATCGAGGAAGAAAAAAAAGAAATTGAAAAGGCAAAATTTACAAATATTAACCCATAAAACCTCTACATTTTCATTCATTGATCTTAAATTTGATCAAGATACATAAGCTAGAACAAACTAAAAACAAAAAAACAGAACATTTATATGATATATAATAGCTACATTGGCTGGGGATGTGATGATCAAACGGTGGGCGGGAGGCGGTCAATGTTGGGAAATCGTACGGAAGGGGACAAGGCCAAGAGAATGAGGAGGGAGAAAATGATAACGGGAACGAACAGCAGAAACAACGGCGGCGGAGGCAGCGGCGGAAGAACCAGCGGCAGCACCAGAAGCAAGACTGTGAACACCAGCATTAGCATGGTTGAAACCACTCTGAAGGACAAGGAACCGACCGGTAGCATGCATCCAATATTCTCTCTTTGATCAGGAGCCGGTTGGTTACAATTACTAATCTAACCCTGCCATCAACATCGGAGGAGGAGGGGAGGAGGATGGTGGGTGTGAAAGGTCGATAAGGGGCTTTATATACGTGAAAAAGGGGAATACGAGTGCAACGAGTAGAGCTGCGGAGGAGGCAGGTGTTCTGGGTTTTGGTTGGTTCTGAGGGGGGTAAAGTTGGAAGTGGGTGAGAAGGGCTAAATGGGAAATAAGAGATTTTGGGGAGGTTACGGAGGAGAGAGATGGATGTCCTGATTCAACCCACCGCTGCAACGGACGGCTGTACGTGCACGCATCGTATTTATTTGGTGTTAGAAGAGTAATGAGCATTCACTTTTGGATGTTAATGCCGTCCTCAACCTCTTCCCTATTTTTTTCATTCTTATTTTTGTGTAACTGTATTAATTGAGACGGTTTGAGTTTCTTTTTCTGTTTCAATGCACGGTACGAAATTTAGTTTTTTATTTTTTTTCCCGAAAAACCAACGTACGTTAAATGGAATTTATTCATACATTTCTCAATATTGTTGTATAAAAAAATTTCTACAATTTTTTTTTTTTTGCCAAACAATAGATTTGTTGGATTAGGTGTGAACCTAAGCCATGGTGCAAGAGTAATACTCATCTTCACTGCTGTGGTTTAAAACCAATTGCCATTCAATTTTTTGTTTTTTTTTTTTTTAATGTACGATATTTTATTGAAATAAATAACATACAAAAGTGGGGGATAGTGCGCATGAAAGGCCTCAATAAAAATTTTGCCGGAGTTTTCAACCCGATCGAAGTGAAAAAGAGTGTCCCGCACATATAAAGGGAGATCTATCCCCCAAAAGTACAATCCATGCATTACCTAATACGGTTTTCCAGTAAAACATCCACAATTAAAGAGGGTGGTTCCTAAAACCAAACTATTTCAACTCCATAACCTAATCCCGCATGAACCAGACGATGTGCAGCCTGGTTGGCATCTTGACGCACAGAAGATAGATTGTAGTGGACGAATTCCTGCAGCAAGCATCTAAAGTCATTCATTCATGTTAAATACTACAATTTTCTTTAGATCGGCAACATATTTACATGCGTAGAAGTGCAGAAGAGTTAAATATCTCACTATTAAAAAACTTGATGGAACTTGTAATAAGAAGAAGAATAAAGTAGCTACTTTTTATTGTTATTCTTGTAATACGAATAAAAGATAGCCAAGTTATGAGAGAAGAAACGCTAAATAGTAGTGTGGTTTAATAATTAATCTTAGTTTTGTATAAATAAAAAAGAGAAATAAAAATTGATATTTTTCTTAATAATTGTATAAACTTTGAGCAAAATTGTAATGATGTGAAAAGATAGATATAAATCTATAGCTTGATGAATGTTAATTAAGGAAAGTGTAATTCTATTAATAATCCAAAACAGTAATCTAGAATACCAGAAGGCTATTGGTGGTCGAATCACTTGTTAGATTTTTGAATCTAAGTGAGCTCAACATTTCCTTATTTCTTGTTGAAGACGACAACTAGACATCAAAAACATAATTCATTCAGTCCAACAACTTCGGTCAAGAGAGACGAATAATAGCATTTTTGCCACGTTGGAACACCTTAAACCCTGTCTCTTGTCCAAACAATGCGGTATACGTCAAGACAAATTCAAATATGAAAAAAATGTTACCAGGCGAAATTGCTTGCAATAACGAGTGATAACATACATAGATAGACATGAATGTGATCATATATGAAATCAAGTTCATTGAAAATCAACCAACCATTGAAGTGTTTGAATGGAAGATTACCTACTTGTCGATCATACTACACTTTCATGTTATGGATGCAACTAATTCTTTGACTTAAGGCATCACTAGCCATCTCATTTTAGTTGATATGATCTTTAGCCTCACCTCAAAGTATTCAAATTTTAGCAGAGCCTTATAGAGTGAGGTATAAGATTATGTACATTAATATAGAGACATGTGAATGCACAACAAAGAATTTGTCCCTCCTAGATAATGATGGAGGTAGATATTCTCAATACTCATTGACGATCTTTCTCCAAAAGTCTTTCGCCAAAGCGATATACATGAGATATATAGGGTGATCATATTTATGAACAGAGTTCGACAATTTATTTCATGCTCTAAAATATATAATCGAAATATAGTAAACAAAAGAATTGAATTGCATTGTAATCATAACTAACAAGTACTACAGTTTTCTCTAGCTCGGCAACATATTTACATGCGCCGAAGCGCAGGAGAGTTAAATATCCCACTATTAAAAAACTTATGGAACTTATATATAATAAGAAGAATAAAATAGCTACTTTTTTATTGTTATTCTTGTAATAAGAATAAAAGTTGGCCAAAGTTAGCCAAGTTATTAGACAAGAAATACTAAATAGAGTGTGGTTTAATAATTAGTCTTAGTTTTGCTTAAATAAAAAGGAGAAATCAAAATTGATATTTTCTTAATAACTGTATAAATTTTGAGCAAATCGTAATTATATGAAAAGTCAGATATAAATCTAAAGCTTGATGAATGTTAATTAAGGAAAGTGTAATTCTATTAATACTTCAAAATAGTAATCTAGAATACCAGAAGGCTATTGGTGGTCGAATCACTTGTTAGATTTTTGAATCTGAGTGAGGTCATTTCCTTATTTCTTGGACATCAAAAACAAAATTCATTCAGTACAACAACTTCGGTCAGGAGAGACGAATAATAGCACTTTTGCCACGTTGCAACACCTTAAACCCTGCCTCTTGTTCATAAACAATGTTGTCGATGCAAATTTCCACCGTCTTCAGTTTTGACGAAATGCACCTGCAAAACAATCAACACCTTTGATTAGAGACCTAAGCTTCACGCGCCCATGAGGTGGTGGTGGTGGGGGGGGGGGTTTAGGTCAACAGATCTCCAATGCCTAAGTTTCTCTGAGAGAGTAAAGTGTTTTGGGCTTTTTAGGGTTACAAAAGCTCTGAAAAATTGGTAGAATATGGGGTATTTATAGGGCTAGGGCCGGCCATATAGTGTTTAATGGAGAGATATTCTCTAAATATTCCAAGATATTAAAAAAGAAATAATATCGTGAGATAATGGTGTAATTATCCCTAATTTATTTAAATTAGGATTACTTACTTGATTGGAGTCAATCTTCAAAAGGGAATGTATTAATGATATGATTTGGGTAATTAATCATTATCTTTAAGTCCTTGCCAATGTCAGGTGAGCTGTGGGTAGTCGTATTTAGCTGTTGAGACCTCTGGGGATGTGAGTTGTGCGTGGAAGCATCTGAGAAGCTTGCCCATTTATTGAGGGCAATCTTGTCTTTCTTGAATAAAAGTCCACATGTCGCACGTAGGAAAAAGATTGTACGTGTAGGAATCCCAAGCTGCTTAGGCTTGTGAAGTTGTTTCCCGATTTGAACGTGATCTTCTTTCTTGATTTGGAGATAAACTTCTTCTAGGAAAAGGAAAATAATTGCCCCCAATACCTATTTAATTCTGCCTTAAGCAGAGGATTAAATAAATTTGGAGAACAATCATTATTCCAACAAGGAAGAGAAGCGAGAGGAAATTTTTATTCCCTTCCCCTAGCCTTCTTCTTTTCTTTCCCTTGCAAAGAGTCGTTTCTCATTGTTCTTCTTCTTCTCCGTACTGCACCAGGTAAGAAAAACTTAAATTTTCTTCTTCTTGAATTTTTGGGGAGCCTTGGGACTTGAAAAATTTGCTCAGTGGGGGTCGAGGTGGTGAGAAGCGCTTGGTAGGAAGGCCACGGGGCTGCAGGTGGTGCGGCTGGAGGATCGACTCGGCTTAGCCGAGGTACTGGCGACGTTAGGGCGTTGAAAGGTTAGCTTGGGCCGAACCTTGTGAGCTGTTGGGTAGGGGCCCATGCAAGTGGAGATGTGAGAGAGATGGAGAGTCCGGCTTGGGCCAGCTCTTGGTCTTTGGTGGCCTAGGCCGTGTGGTAAGGGTGCCTCTGCTAGGAAGAAAGCTATCAAATTCCATTCGTATCACTTCATGTTGGGATTTGTTTTTCCCATGCACGTCTTTTCCAGGAGGTGATCTGCCCCATGAAATGCGCACCTGCTCAGTGCTCCCCAAATGCAGTTTGTGCAATGATGGGATTCTTGAACTTGAGCAGGTTCTTTAATCTTGGCTTAACCATAAATGAGTTATGATACTTCTTTGAGATCGGCCATAAGGAAGGTGTGGGCAGCTGAGGTCTCGCCATAGGCTGCTCGATGCTTCTAGCAAGGGCAATCATGAGTGGGCTAGAGACACCTTGGAGGTGAGTGGGGAGTGGGAGTCTGACTCTTCTCCTGAGCTGCATGTCCCGACTACCTTTATCAGTGGTAAGTGAACTGCTTCATTCTTACCCTGCTTGAATTTTTTTTAGAGCTGCTTCATGTATTTAATTTCTTGATTGTTTTTCTTGTGTTGTGTAGATTCGGAGTTTGGCTCCATTCCAAGGACCTCGACAAATATGAAGAAAGTGCATGTTGCCTTGGGCATTCTTATTGAGTACCGTGAGTGGTACTGGCTGCTCAACCCTTTTCGTTGGGAGAAAGGTGGTTTGCCTTCGAAGTAAGAGATAAAGTGGATAAAGGACGAGGGGCTGGCTCACCCGATCGCTGTTGTAAAGCCCGCTGCCAATAAGGGTGGAAAGAAGAGCTCTTGTTCACCTACTTATGAGCCTTCAGCTGAGAAGAAGCCAATAATTTCTTTCGCTTCTCTTGGGAGCTTGTCTGCTACCGAGAAGCTTGTTATTGATCTAACCACCCTAAGGGGGTGAAGAAGATCGTTGAAATTGAGCTTATGAAACCTGCTGCTTCAAAGGTGACTGTATCCATCGTTGAGAGACTTGCCTAGCGGAAGGGTTCGGTGGGGCCTTCGGTGTTCGGCTTTGTATCAAAGCGTCTGTCGGGAGCTAAGTTTGGATCGGCTTCTGAGAGGCTCGCCGCTATGAAGAGCAGGAAGGTGGATTCTGTTGCTAAGGTGGTGCCTGGGCCTGATCATCCTTCTGCGGTGACTAGCTCATCTGTTGAGAAAGGGAAATTTGCTCGCACGGGCAGTGTGAGAGATCCACCGAATTTGAGGTTGGAGAGTTTCATGAGGTTTTTACGTAGGCTGACCTACTTGAGGATGTTGACGCATGCACCAAATTTGTTAACAGTGTTGGGAAAGTTATCATCCACTCAGATTCTTTTATGAAGCGTCCTGACTACTCGAGAAGGTCATTCCTGATTGCTACAATGCATAAGACTTTAATCTTGGTAGCTGAATCTATGTGCGTTGATCATGATGCTGTCAAGTGTGCCAAGGAGGCTGAAATGGCATTGGTGGTTCAACTTCACTCGGCTTCTGAAAAGATCGAGAAGCTCGAATCTGAACTCGCCGTTTTGAAAGGGTCTAATGTCTCTGCTCCCAATTCTTTGCAGCTGGAGATCGCTCGTGAGAAGGTTGCCCATCTGAATGCTAAGCTTAATGCGACTCAAGCGATGTTGGAAGCTGCAGAGAAGAAAGTAAGTTGTGTTTCTCCGGTGGTTGAGGACTTTGAGCGTGTCAATTCGGAGCTATGATCTGCTTGTTTTGCCAAGAATGAGGAGCTTGATTTTATACATGCTGAAGTGTCTCGCCTCAAGGAGGTTGCCAGTAAGCTTGAGTCCAAGATGTCTGCTAGTGAGAACTTGAAAAAGGAATTGGATAAGCTGCAGGGTGCTCGTACTAGGCTTGTTGAGGATAATGTGCAGCTGAAGAATGAGAAAGTTGGTCACGAAGTGGCGTTTGCTTCTTGTTAGGCCGATTTCTACAAGCTTGGCTATGTAGACTATCTTCAGGGTAGGCCGTCATATTATGAGTTTTCCGAGAAGGACTTCGAGACTTTTTCCATTTCTCCAGTTGATCTGCTTGATTTCTTATTTGAGGTTACCTTTGGTGGAGCAGCTGAGGGTCAGGCAGTCTACGTATGGACGGTTGAGGATGAGTTGATGGAAGCTTTGGCTACTGGGAATGGCACGGTTGCTGAAGGTGTGGTAGTCGAGGAATCAGTGGTTGCGTAAGCTGCTAATGAGTAGTCTTTTTGCTTAGACTTAGGAGTTTTCTTATTTTCCTTTTTATTCTGCTTATTTGAACTTTGCTGGCCTTCGAGCCGGTTGATCATTTTACTAGAAATTTAATAAACAACTTTCCTTGTTTTTTCTTCATCCTTCTATTTCGCCATGTCTTTACTTTACCGTAAGACGGACGGCTGGGTGAGTTGCTTCAATGAAGCAGTTGATCCCACATCGTCATTTAGGTTTTAGTTTCGGCTTCGGGGATTTGGGAGCCTTGCTTGTTTGAGGCGTTTTGCAAAACTTTATCATAAGACGGGCAGTTGAGTTGGCTACTTCGATGGAGCAGTTGACTCACGCGGTCACTTTAGGTTTCAATTTTGGCTTTGGGGCTTCTAGAGCTTTACTTGCAAAATGAAGAAATGCGAGATTTTCAACTTATAGAGCCGACGGCTGAACTCGTTGTCTCCATAAGAGGCAGGCGAGTTCGTGTAGCTACTATATCTATGAATCTTGGCTTTGGGTAGCTTCGTGAGCTTTAGCTCTCCCGGGGAATGTTGCGAGATTTTTGACTTATAGAGCCGTCGGCCGAACTCGTGCTTCTTGTAGGAAGCAGAGAAGGTCTGAGTAGCTGCTGTAGTCGTGACACTCGACTTTAGTGGCTTCTTGAGCTTTGGTCTTCCCGAGGCATGCTGCGAGATTTTTTACTTATAGAGTCGTCGATCGGACTCGTGTTTCTCGTAAGAAGCAGAGGAGGTTCACGTAGCTGCTATAGTCGTGACAGTCGACTTTAGTGGCTTCTTGAGCTTGGGTCTTCCCGGGGCATGTTGCGAGATTTTTAACTTATGAAATCGTCGGCCAGGCTCATATTTCTCGTAGGAAGCAGAGGAAGTCCGCATAGGTGCTATAGTCGTGACACTTGACTTTGTCCCAGCAAAACTTAAACCATAGACCGTCGGCGGGAAGTGCTGTTTGTAAATAAGCAGGCGAGTCCGCGTAGTCATAGCAGGTGTAAGTTTCAGCTTACGGGCTACCTTGGGCTTTTGGCAGTCAGGTTGTCAGCCATATGTCTTACTTACAAAAGTAGATAACCCACTTCAGGTGTCATCCCTAGCTCTCGGAGGCGTTTTTTGGCTTGAGCTGTAGGCGAAGTTGCTTCTCAAATGCCATATCCTTCTAAGTTGTAGCTTTGATCCCGCAGGTCGCTTAATTAGTATTGCAATACTTTAAAACCCAGCTGATTCATGAAGGTTTGCACATCGAGGATGGACAATCTTGTCACGTGGATTCTTTCAAGGCCAGAGGTCCTGCACTTAACGTCTTTTTTGGTTAGAGACCCGGGATCCTGTGGAATTAAATCTTTCTGTTGGCTAAGTCTATTCCAGGGGAAGGACTATCGTGGCCAATTATAGGAGTCATTTGGCGGGGACCATCTTGTCACGCGAATTTTTTCATGGCTAAGGGTCTTGCACTTAGCGTCTCTTCCGGTTAGAGACCCAGGATCTTGTGGAATTAAATCATTCTGTTGGCTAAGTTTATTCCAGGGGAAGGACTATCGTGGCCAATTCTGGAAGTCGTCTGGCGTAGGTAGTTAATGCATTCAGGGGGAACTGAGCAGTCGTACAACCCATCCAAGTCTGGATATTTCAGAATAGTTTACCCTTTCGCATTGGAGAGCAGACCCTAGATGAATGTTGGGGAATTAGTTTACCTTCTCGCGCTGGATAGCTTACCCATATGAGTGTTGGGGAATTAGTTTACCTTCCAGTACTTGAGAGCTTACGCCATGTCTGCGAGGCAGCGGGCATCTTTTGCTTGTCACAAGGTTGGTCAGTTTGTTTATGCATTGGCCTAAGCTTGCGAATAATTCCTTCAATTTTCATTGAAAATAGAGGCTTTTATTACTTTTGATCGTAGGCGTAATGCCATAACAACTGATAATTCTCGGCATGCGAGTCTTCGAACTTTTTTCGTCTTGAACGGGATCCAAGGAATGGTGGAAGGTCACATGTAGTACTTTCTCAAGTTGTAGGCATTCCACTGTTTGTTGATTTCTTTGTCGCTCATAGTGGTGAGGGTGTAACTACCCATTCTGCTTACTTGGCTGATTTTGTATTGACCTTCCCAGATGAGAGCCATCTTTTTGGAGCCTTTTCGTCGGGTGGTCATGAAGGATTTTTACCCTCTTGTTATAGCTAGAGAGGAGTTGTTGTTGATAGGCCGCAATGCAGCTGATAACCTTCTCACACTCTTCCTCTACCAGGTCTGAGTTGGTGGCCATCTCTTTTTTGTTCTGCTAAAAATTCGGCAGTACAATGCTAATGCTTGGCATCATGATGTTGGGAAGGATGATCGTCTCAGAACCATACGCCAGGAATAATGGAGTTTCGCCCTCGTTTGGCCACTTGCTTTTCTCTGAGAGGGTCTTGTTAAGGTAGTCAATGATGGTCTTGTTGGACGCCTTAGCCTTCCCATTGCCATGCGGATACCGAGGCGTGGACATGTGCTGCTTAATGCTATACTTTTCGAAGAACTTCGCCAAGTCTTTGCCCACGAATTACGGACTATTGTCGGTGACGATGGAGTGTGGGATGCCGAAGTAGCAGATGATGTTCTTTCATATAAAACGTATGATGTCCATTTGGGTAGTTGTAGTTATGGGTTCGGCTTCGACCCATTTTGTGAAGTAGTCGGTCGCTACAATTATCATGCCTCAGCCCCCAATGGCAGGTGGCATTGGTCATACCAAGTTGATCATCCACTGCATGAATGGCCAATGGCTTATCTGCAGATGGAGTTCATTGGCAGGTAGTGCGGGCATAGGCTTGAAGCGCTGATAGCTGTTGCACTTTTGTACATACTCCTTGGCATCTTGATGCATGGTTGGCTAGTAATAGCCTGCATTGAAAGTTTTTTACACCAAGGAGCGGCCTCTAGAGTGGTTTCCACATACGCCTTCGTGGATTGAGCTAAGAATCTTTAGGTTATCAGGAGGTGATAGGCAGTAGAGATGTGTCTTGAAAATGATCTTCGAACAAGTATGCTGTTCCACATGTAGTAGCATACTGCCTTCATCTGGAGCTTCCTGGACTCCAGTCTATTTGGGAGGAGCGTTCCATTGACTATGTAGTCGATGATGGGATCTTGCCAACTCGGGGTTATGCTGATTTGCACCATCTCGACTGTTGGTTCCTCATTTATGCTTGGCCTTTTCCAAGTACTCGACTGGAATGGAATGCTTGAGCTGATGGTCCAGTGCGGAGCCTAGGCTTGCTAGTGAGTTTGCGTGGGCATTTTCTGCTCGTGGAACCTGAGTGAGTGTGTATGCCTAGAACGTCGTTAGTTGCTTTCTTACCTTCTCGAGGTATCGGGCCATCCTTAAATGCTTTGCTGCATACTCATCTGAGGTTTGGTTGGTGATTAGCTGCGAATCGGAATAGATCGCGAGCTTTTTCACCACTAGGTTTTTCACCAATAAAAAACCTGCTACAAGGGCTTCATACTCTGCTTTGTTGTTTGACGCCTTGAAGCTTAGAGTGATCGCTTGCTTGAGCATTGAACTGTCCGGGGTAGTGAGAACTAGGCCTGCTCCCGATCCTGGTAGTTGGATGATACGTCGACGTGTAAACTCCAGAAATTTACTGCAGGTGGGGTTGGTGCGGCTACATTGTGCTCGACTGCCTCTGGGGACTTTCTAGGTTGAGTTGCTGCGCTCGTCGGAATGTCTGCCAGTTTTCATGCCTTTAACGTCATGTGTCTGGGCTATGCGAAATATCGTGTCATGATGATGACTGTGTACGTTTGAAGGTACATATTAAGCTTCTGGGTTGCAACAACTAGCGTTAAAATCAAAGTTTTAATTTTTGGGTATCTGGCTTCCGCATCTAGGAGAGCTTTTGAACTGTGGAATACAAGTGGTCGGGCCTCCAGCTCTTCTTGTATGAGAGTAGAGCTTATTGATGCCTCAGATACCGCTATATAGACACATAGATCCTCCACTGCCTCTGGCTTGGATAGTATGGAATGTGATGTCAGGTTAGACCTTGGATCTTCTTCAGAATGGTGGAGGACTTCATATCCTGGATTACTTTCTTTGGATGCATATTCGGGGTGGTCTGACTGCTGCTTAAGGTTAAGGAAGATGTGTTTGGTGTATTCTTTGGGTTCCCATCTTGATTCATCTTCTAGGGCATTGTCAACCTTGGCGCCATCTTCTTGACCTGCATGCTGTAATTGCTATTTAGCGGAGGTAAAGTCGTCATCTTACACTTCAGCTGCTACTGCTGGGGCGAAAGACTTTTTCCTGGATTTTGCGCTTGGCAAGGCAGCAGAGCCTTTAGCTGCCTCTGGTGTTGACTTGCTGGTCTACGTTGTTCTTCTGCACGTCTTGCTCGTCTGTGCCGCGGTTGTGGTGCACGTTGGTTTGCCTTGTGCTGTTCGCAGTCACTTTGAGCGAGGGCTGCCAGTGGAATTTAGCTGGACTACTCACGTGCTCTTCTTTGGGCATCATGTGGTTGCCTACTCCGTTACCTCGTAGGAGGATCTCCTTATAGGCCTAGCCTCGTATGGACGCTTCACCTGGAAGGTCCTGAGTGCTCGTTGGAGTATGGACC